CTCCCCTCAGCCTCCCAAAGGCGCGGGATTACAGGCTGAGCCACCAAGCCCGGCTGAAACTATTTTCCATTCAAGTCTTTTGACTCCTTCATAATCCAACTTCCTCAGATGGAATCCAAGATAGACCCACATTATGCTGATTACAGCTCATGGGAGGAGTAACAGCAATGAACCAAAGAAGCCAGAATTTAAAATTTGATCACAGTCAGTGACATTTACAGCTATCTGTGATGACAGTTCTGTCTCCACTCACCAGGGGTCTCATTTTGTCAGTCTGTGAAGTTAAAGGATTAAGAACAATAATCCTCAGAGGTTCCTCCAGTTAAAAAATGTTATGATTTAGATAACTCTCTGTTGAACAAGAAGTTCAAGTAACAGATGAATGATTGAAGGAATACAAACTTTAAAGTGACTTCTGAATCTGAGAATATATGATTCTCATTTCAAATAATCACTAGGGAGAATATAAACAAATAAATGTGTCTGTGAAATTTTTACCGACTTAGAGGCAGAGTCCAGACTAAAGCTTGCTTCTCAATTTGCTTTCCCGTAATGCAGTATGATGCAGAACTTTTAAGACAACATTAACAATATGAGATGCCTTACATTTAGCATACGACCGTGTGGGCTTTTTGCCTGCATTTGGGCTGCTTGGACATGACCATAATTACAGGAGTGATTCTTTAAGAGAGGCTCGGGATTTGGCGTGAATACACTATCCCTAGTATTTTCCCCAAAGGCTTCAACAATACTTTTATCTATTTTTAAATTTCAGTCATTCATGCCAAAATAAAAGCGGTGCAGAGGAGTGGCTGTAATGAAGTCACCACAGTGGTAGATGTAAAAGAGATCTTCAAGTCCGCATCGCCCATCCCTCGAACTCAAGTCCCACTCATTACGAATTCTTCCTGCCAATGTCCACATATCCTGCCCCATCAAGACGTTCTCATCATGTGTTATGAGTGGCGCTCAAGGTAGGCACAAAGAAGGAACTATCTGCACACTGCTTCCAAAAACACGTATCTCATTTAGCAGTCATTGCTTAGAAAAAACAGTGCCAGTAAATATTTTCTTAAATAGTTTTAACAGTTTCCTCTGTCATGATATCATATATCTTAAATACTAATTATGTCCCCATAGAATGAAGGAAAACATAGAACTATGAGTATTTGAATGGAATCTTTAAAAATCAATTACAGAATTAAGTTATTTCAAAAAAACGTATAGGCAAGTAGATTACTTTGAATTAAAACAATTCTTTTCAAATGATTTAGACAATCTCAGTCTGATAAATTTTTAAAGGCTTCTTTAATAAATTACAGATCAAGTAAGTAGTTATTTGAGACTGTTTTCCCATGCTATATACACTTCACAATATATGTTTGATAGAATTTGCATATGCACACACACAAACTTTAAGATAACTTCTGAAATCTAAAAATATGTGATTCTCAATTCAGATGATCACAAGGCAAAACATAAGCAAATAAACGTTACTTCATACACACACACACACACACACACACACACACACACACGTGAGTGTATCTCTAGCTGGGAGTGTTTGTCTTCCCCGTTTCTTTTTCCTTGTCATATTTTTATATTGGTATATTCCTTATAATACAAAGTGAAACTCCTTAGCTCAGGTTCCAGAATGGGCCGTATATTGCTACAATATACTTCAGTGTATATACTTCAACATAACTTCAAATCATTCATTTTTAATTGAAATTATTTTTCTGCCATTAATGCTCATCTGCTTCTTCTTTATACAGCCCAAGACACTATTCATCCAAAAAGAAAACAAAAACATTTGAAACTAACTTCAGTTGATTAATTTCTGGTTCTGTATTCTGTCAGTACTTAGATACTCTCCTTATACTGTATATGTCTCATTGCATTCTTGGCTTTAAAATCATCCTTCTGCTTATATCTTGACTCTTTAAATGAGTAATCAGCGATTCTGGGCTCACCTCTTTCATGGTGTTTGTATCTGCTGCAGTGTTGGATGCAGCTGGGATATACCAGTTTGCTAATCAATAATATATGTATATATTACATAAAAATATTTTTGAAAAATTGGGGTTTATGTCTTCACAGATTATCCTAATGATCATTTGGAAAAATGAAATGGTAAGGGCATGTAAAAGAGATTTTGAAAATGAAAATGACAGGAGGAAATCTGCTTTAAGAGACTCCCAAAACTGATATGAAGCTACATTTGTTAAAACCATGTGGTACAAGAGTAGATGAAAAGATAAATAAAACAGAAGAAAAAGCATTGAAACAGATTCTACCGCATAAAAACTTTTCATTATGAAAGAAATATGCAAAGTAATAGAAAATGAATGTATTATTTGGTAAACAGTACAAATACTCTTATTTTGAAAAATACTATTTTTTCACTTTAAACTGTACTGTAGGATAATTTCAAGTGTATCAAATAAATAAATATTTTAAGAACTTAAACAAAGAGGATGAAATTATGTGATAAAATATGTAATATCAAAAAAGGCAAGAAAGAATGAAAAGATATATCAATAAATGGTGAATGTGTGGATTATGGGGTTAAGGATTCTTGAAGATTTTTTTTACAATTTTCTGCATTTCTAAATTTTTAACTTTTATAATCAAAAGATGCTTATTAAAATAAACTACTTTTTTTTAGGATGATGCTTCTTGAAAATTGTTTAGTTGAAAAATGGAGAGATCAACTTAGTAAAAGATCCATAGTAAGTATAATGAACAACACTGTGAATATGGATATAAATACCTGTAAAGGACTTCTACAGAATTTGAGAAGTCTTCACATTCTCTCATTTCCAAACTCTCACAGGAGCTAGCAGTACAACAGAATTTAATTTTTGAATAGGAGAGTTAAGAATATAGCTATTCTCACTTGGAATTTTTTTTAAATGAGAAATCTATCATTCAACTTAAAAAGTGATTTAGTAGCCGGACTCGGTGGCTCAGCCTGTAATCCCGTGCCTTTGGGAGGCTGAGGTGAGTGGTTTGCCTGAGCCCGCTGGTTCGAGACCCGCCTGGGCAGTGAGGCCTCATCTCTACAATAAATCAAAAAAAATCAGCCGGGCGTGGTAGTGTATGCCTGTAATTCCAGCTACTCGGAAGGCTGAGGCGGAAGGATCACCGGAGCCCAGCAGGTCGAGACTGCGGTGGCTGGAAGCGGCCACTGCCCTCCAGTCTGGGCGACAGAGTAAGACTCCAACTCAAAAAAAACAAAAAACAAAAAAAAGTGATTTAGTTGTGTTCAATGCTAATGTACTGGTTATTTTAAGATTAAATTAGGGTGTTTTTGTTTCTTTGTTGTAATACATTTAATGTTTCAGTGAAGTGTGAGATACTTCAATAGAATTAATATCCATTGAGATTAAGAATAACACATATTTGTAGGGCTGTGGACATCTAGTTCTAAAACTATCCATCACTATACATAGCAGTGTATTTAAAATAATTCTAAGACTCTTGTAAAAAGTCATATGCAAAAAGTAATTATTTTGTGGCCAAATCCATAATTCTAGTTGTGACATCATAGAAATATTGGTAATTCAATTAAAGGAGTTAGAATTGGTTTTTGCCCAGAAATGTGAAATCATACTAAAACTAAAGACATCAGGTAATCAGTTTGAAAATTTTAAAGCATTTCCTCTCCTGTAAGCAACGTTTGGATGTTTTCAGGAGAATCTGTGTTTTTCAGGTTATCAAAACGTACTTCTATTGCTGTGCTCTCTTAGTTTGCATCGATAAAAATTATTGGGCAAGGGAAGAGTATATATTAAAGTTGACTTATGGAGAATGTAGTTACAACAGAGTCTCCCCTCCTCAGTGCATTTCTGAATAACAGAGCCAAACACTGTTGGGCTAAATCTTAGCTAGCACTTTGACAGATTACTGTATGTAGTTGAGACTTCTGTCTTCCTCTGGATTTTGGAGAATTAGGTGAACATATAAGTGTGGTAACAAAAAATCTTAACTCATGCTCAAATACTCATGAGCTGCTCAGGAGAATGCTTACTTTTATAAGACAGAACATTCTAGCAAGATTGGTTATCTAGTTTCCAAGACTTCAGTAGATTAGAAACATCAGTGGAGAATGCAAGCCCACCATAAGGACCTGAGATTACTGAGAGGAATGAAAGCTTTCAAGAATCATAGCTGTTGGGGCCATTCACTTTGGCAGCAAATATTTCAGTATACTTCAGCAAGTGTTTGAAAATATCACCATATGTTAGCAACATGCAGTAATGAGTTTATTATTTTAGAATAGACTAGAACTGTGCCCTAGGAAGGTAGAAACAATGTTTTTCTTTTCCTTGTGTTTCTAATTCTTAGAACAATGCCTGGCCTATGGTCATGCCCAAAAGTTTTGCTAAATAAAATATACTTTAACAAAGCATAATATAAAGCAGTGTCTATTGAAGTGAATTTACGTTTTCATTTTGTTTCTCACATGAGCTATTTAAAGAATAAATTCTTTGCTATCAAAGAGCCTTGATTTTCCAGAAGGATTCATTTCCCAATGGCTCTGGATAGCTAGCACTTTGACAGATTACTGCATGTAGGTGGGGCCTGTGTCTTCCTCTGGATGTGGGAGAATTATGTGAACATAGAAGTATGGTAACAAACTTCTGACTACCCAACGAGGGTAGGTAAACTTCTGTGTTCAGCCATGTCAGAGTCCTCTTAGAAGCCTGTGTAGCGATGTTGCATTGTAGGGCTAGTGCTCAGAAACGCACGGATTAAGGCTTTGGGCTCTGAAGTCAGAGTAGGCAAATATGAATTTTGTCTCTGACCTTTACCAGCTCTGTGACCTTCTGCAAATAACCTCTATGTATTTGGTTTTTGACCCTAATAATGGTGCCTTTCTAGAAAAGCTGTTGTTTCAACAAAATGAATGTATACCAAGACTTTATCAGATGCTGAGCACTTTCCAAATTTACCAGTACTACCTGATAAGTGCTTAACATAGGGTAACTATAAGAATTGTTACTGTCATTAGTATAGTACAGTGAAAAACTTGCCTTCATTCTGTTCAACATCCTAAAGGGGTGAGATGTATTTGATAGTCATCTTTACAAATTGCCTCCCAGCAGTGGGAAGAGAGAATGCGAGAACAGCGGAGAATAACTCAGGACAAGAAGAAAACAGCCGGGCGCACCAGTCGTAGTAATCCCCCGAAACCAAAAGGAAAGCCGCCTGCTTCCAAACCAGCCAGCCCCAAGAAGAACATTAAAACTAGGAGTGCCCAAAAGAAAACAAACCCCAAAAGAGTGTGAGCTAACTACTTTCCAAGATGGAGACTTCTGACTTCCTTACGGGGTGAGGCCAGGCACTACCTAGGACAGCCTGTGTAAGGCCACACACCCTTTGCCTTAACAACTTACTGCCGTACTCTTCGTAGACACCTCTTGCAGCATTTTTCTTCATGATATGCTTCATTTTTTTTCCTTTTAAGCCACCACAAGCCATAGTGGCAGGTTTGCCCTTTGGTATGAAAGATGCATTAAAGCTGGAGGAAAAAGCTTATTGCATCCAGAGTAGCTTGTATGTGCATACTCTATGAGATTTTTGTGTGGGGAGCATAAAGCTTTTTACAATTTGACCTAATATGTGCATTGAAAAATAAATGCCATATTTCAAACAAAGCACCTAATTTTTTAACAATATATTTTATTCTCACTTGAGTTCTGTTGTTACAATGTTGGTAATGTTTTAAAATGTGATTGAAAATGTAATGCTTCTAAGGAGGAGGAAAACAAGAGAAATGAATGTTTAAAAGATATCTACGTGTTTATTGTCTGCAGAAGGGTTTTTGTGATGAAAGAGGATTTTTTTTAAATCCTAGAGAAGTAGGATGTGCAAAATTGTAATGTGTCTACAAAGAAGACTTTCTGCTTTGTTTTTAGCCAGAAAATAGAAAAGCTAAAATAACTATAATGAAAAATAAATAAAAAGGAGAGGCAGACAGACACTGTCTGAATTCTTGTCTTCTGTTTACCATACCATGGTGAAGAGTCTCTGATTTCATGATCATGATGCTTCTCGTTAATATCTTCAAGCAGCAACAGAAACACTGAGTTTGTTTATCCCACTTTGATTTAGGTACCACTTAGTCGGTCAACTGTCAAGTATTTTATACCTATAACAAGAGAGGTGTGTTGCTCATCTCGTTTCCTAAGCATCCTAGTATCTTGATTACCAAACAAGAGAATTTTCTCTCTGCTGTTTGCTAGTGGTTACAGCAGTGCCTTTGGGGACGTAGTGGGAGGGTTGGGACTCCACGGTTGGTCCTCAGCCTGCTAGGGCACCACTGCCACACTCCAGATCTGTGTCTGGGGAAGGGGACTGAGGCCGCTTGTTCTACCCATTATGCATGGAGGTAGCAGAACAGTCTTGAAAACACAAATTTCTCCTTCAGGTTTGCTCTTGTCCTTACTTCTCAGAGAAGGAGTAAGTTATATGCTGCATTCACACAAGCTAATTAAACAGATTATATAATTTAGTCTCAGTAATTATTGAGACACAGAAATAAGGTGTGTGGTTAAGTCCACACAGTGGGGTGGTACGGGGGTGGGGGTGGGAGTTGGGCCAATGAGAATACTGCTGCATGTACCCATCTCCTCCTGAAGGTTGAATGTTGTCTGTGTTGCTACTCCAGGGCAGTAGAGTTAAAGGAGTCCAATGGATCAACCTACACAAGGGTATCAATCAAATACTCAGTGTGTGATCCTAGTGTATAAAAGCCAAACCTTTTGGGCCCTTAAGGAGAGTTCCGGGAGCATCCAACTTCATTCAACCATCCTTGGAAAAACAATTAAAAGTCATTGGTAGCCCATCTTACCTTCTTAGCACAGTAGGAGTTCTTTAAAAGAAGGGAGTTAGAAATAGAACTCTCATGGAAATGGAGGGGAAAAAACAGCTTTGTAAAAAAAAAGATTGTTTTAAGTGCAAAACTGAATGTAATAGAGTTTGGAGATAACTTTCCAGATTTAAGCAATATTTACTTTGAATATATAACTGAAATTATATACTGAATGTTACACAAAAACTTAGCTAAATGAGACACATTCATCAGTTTGACTGTCTGATAAAAGATTAACCCGGCCACTGTTTGGTTATTTATTATAAAAAGTTGAAGATGAACATCAACCCATGAATCATGTGACAAGTATGGAAGTGGTTGTGTGAACGCCAAAATATTGTTTTTCCCATTTAAACATTTTCTTCAGATAAATACATGTGAGGGGAGATAAATATAAATATATGGAGGTGAGAGTAGAGGTTCGATCTCTAAAATGGGCTACTTTAATCAGAAAAAAATGTATTTTACAATGTTTTAGCAAAAAATTCCATAACTGTGGACAACTGGAGGCATTTCTTTTAAAAAAAATTTTAATGGTCTTTTACTAACATAGTAAGCATGTATTATCTATAAACCATTCAATAATTGGAATTAGAATAATAAAAAAAGAATGGAATTAGAATTCTACCTAATACCTCTCACTACTACAGAGGTTATCACTGTTAGTATTTTGGCATATAATTCTCCAGGTGTAGTTCCTATGTATTTACATAAATATTTGAAAAAATAAAAGTAAGAGCCTACAATACATTTGTTTCATAACCTGTATCTATCACTCGGCCCTTCATAAGATTAATTTTCATGTCAAGAAACCTGATATCACTTTATTTATAAGAGCTATGTTGTATTCCATAGTATGCATTACTCAACAAACTCTTGCATTATTGGGCATTTAGGTCATTTCTGAACCAAATGTATTTAGGTCATTTCTTAACCAAATGTACTGAATAATTGAATGAACTCCTTGATGGCCAAACATCAGTGCACATCCTTCACTAGTAACTTGAGATAAGTTCATTTAAATAGCATTGTTGGGCCAAGAAGTATGCTGAGCAAAGAAAATTATCCATCTTATTGTTAATTATGCCTCAGAGTGCTTGGACCACAGGCACTCTGAGGCATAATTATGAATATATGAAAGTATATGAAAGTGCTGATGACTTTCCAACTCCTCCCTATAGTTGTTTCTCTTTCCAGATATTTGTTATAAATTTAAGCTTGAAACTGGTGGCCACCTTAAGCAAGCCTCCTCCATCTGTGAACCATCAGCTGACAACATTCTAAACACTTTCCACATCTCAGGCATCTGAGGATATGAATGATTTGAGCACCTGAAAGTATAGTCAATAGATAAATGGAGAAATGGACAGATAGGTAAAGAGATTTCTTGATTGCTGGGAAAAGTTACTGTCTCAAATTTTTTAATGAATCAAATTTAATATCCTGCACCTAGTTAGAGAAAGCTCCGGGCCCCCAGAGTTTCTGAATTTTAATTTATCAGACCAAAGTGCATTGCTTTCTTGGTAATGTAAATCTGGGCTGTTAGAGGGAATACATTTAACACAATGGAAAGAGCAATAAGAGAACACCTTTCTGCTTCTTGGTTAGTCTTGATATATGCTAATATGACCATATTTCCTAATGGAAAATATTTCTTAAAAAGCATTTTGCTCTGAGAGATGTATTAAGTCATAGTGAAAGGTGTCCCAACTAAAAATTTTAGTTGTCAACTTTGTAACTAAACTGATAAAACATGTTGTGTTCTCTAGATTAATGAAGTACCTGGAATAGGCTGTCTACTTTAGTTTATTATCTGAACTCCAAATGAGATGATTGACTCTAGGATAGCAATAACATGTCTCCTCTTTTTACTATTCAAACAACAGAGATAAGCAAAAAAATAAATAAATAAAATAAAATAACGAAAAGAAAAGAACCCAAAACGTCAAAGTAGCTTCTCAGATGTCTAAATTAGCAGTTTGGTGTGAATACTTCCAAATTTTCTTTCTGTTTTGGTGTATGAATTTAGCAATGCAGCATTAAAATTGCTCCCTGTAAAGAAACACAACAGTGTATTTATTGTTCACAGCTGCATAGCATGGATATTATCAGAGTGTATTTTATCAATGACTTCTGTTAATGGACTTTTAATGTGATTCCCAAGGTGCACCACAATAGGACAGACTTCTGTGACACAAATAATTTCTCACTATTATGGAATTCTCAAGACCATGAAAATTGGCACAAAAGAGTGCAAGGCATAAATGTTTTCTGTATTTTGTCAAATGAACATGTGTTACTTAATTATTAGATAGTATAAAAATGCCAACAGAGAGAAAGATAGAATGTGGTATGGTTTAAAGCCATGTAGACATGCAAATTGGAAAATGATTACCTTGAACACATGTATGCTAACCTGGGTCCTCAAATAAGCAAATTTCAAAGCAGAATTGAATGTGCAAGATGCTTGTGAGAGAAAATAGGGAGGGAGCTGAGTGGGGCTAGGAGAGCCACCAGAGCACACTGCATGTCTGCCCCTGATGAAGGAGAGCAGGGAGAGAGAAGAAAGGTTGGGTGGAAGCATTTCAGACTGCTGTCATGTCTATGGAAGGTTTGGCAAGGCTACTGGGAAGGCTTGAGCCAAAAGCATCTGTCAAAGGAGTCCTTCACCTCCCAGGGACAACTCTGCCTGAACATCCTGTTGTGTTCAGCCACTGACTGTGAGCAACCCATGGGCAGCAAGGTCTTGCTGCAAAGGTGGCAATGAATTTCAAAGTGCAGACCCAGAACCCTTGTCAATTATGGCCCCTGTAGTTGGAGACTGTGATTCATGTTGTCATGACCATCACTGTATGACAATCATAAAATTATTAAAATCTGACCGCTACATTTTTTTGGTGCAATCTATAAAGTGAAAATATTTTTGGTGCAATCTATAAAGTGAAAATAAAGTGATGTCAGGTGACAAAATGTTTCTGTCAGTGTCTATAATTGGAAGCAATACACTATTTGAATCCTTAAACCTTATAGATTTTTATGTCTCCATGCTTTTGTAAGTTTCTTTCATTTTAAATTTAAGAGACAATATGTGTGTCATAACTACAGATCTTACAGTATTTATTTTCTCCATTATCTAAAGATGTCGCTTTCTACTGAAACTTAAGAAAACATTTTAAAAGAGGTAATTAATAGCAAGAACAAAGCCTATTATATGTAAGTTTGCTTTACAGGATTAGACAGCATAAGTCTAATATATGTAGTTGTGATATTGTACAACAATTTTATAATTAGACAATTCTAAAATATGCTGCTGTAATATCCAGATAAGAACTACTTTATAATGACCAGTTTGGTTCACTTTAATAACATTCTTTGCAAAAGGAAAAGAACATAATATATTAGCAATGAAATTTAAAAACAGACAAGACTCATAACCATAGGGCTATTCCCAGATCTCACAAAATTGTTAGAACTTGAATAACAGAATGAGATGTAAAGAACTGAGGTTAAGCAAAAAATGGCATTAGGAATAAAATTTCATCATGGTACGAACAAAAATCTAAAATGCCATTGTTGGATCAAACTGATGGATTTTTAAAGTTCATTAACACTTTTAGTCTTCTAATCATTTAAAATACTTGTTATGTCATTGGAGTAGTTCAGCAGTCTGAAAATCATGTGGACAATTGCTGAGTCAACTTTCTGACTTCAGAAGTCATCCGAAGTAACTTCCAATGGATGAGCAGTTCAAATACAGTTCAGACAGGTGTCAGTGTCAGGGATCCCCTTCAGTGACTAGAAAGGTCACCATGAGAGTCCAACTACAGGGCCACATAACAGAGTACAGCATATTTTAGAAAATCTGTCAATTTTCTGCAGGGCCTCTGCTTAAAGGGAACAAGATCCAAGGAAATGGTGCTGAAGAGTATTTGTTTTAAATCAAGAATACCTCAGGTATCCTGACATGGAAGAGGGCTGGAGGGACTGGATGAGACCATCAAAGAGACTCTGGCTTCAGGGTCAAGGTGCATGACTGAACTGGTACTAAATAATAGGGACCATTCTGTCTGGTGGAATTCATGTAGCCACAAAGCTCATCCCCAGC